AGGACCAGCGTCACCAGCAGCAGCACCCCCGGAACCGTCACCTCCAGTCCTAGGGTCTCCAGCCTCAGTGTCTCCAGCCGCAGCACCCCCAGACGCAACACCTCCAGCCCCAGCAGCTCCAGTACCTCCAGTACGAGCACCTCCGGGACCAGCGACTCCAGCACCTCCAGTAGACAAAGTACCAGCACCACTCCCAGCTCCAGCGACGTCAGCAGAAGCACCTCCAGCGGCAGAGCCCTGAGCTCCAGCAGCACGACCTTGATGGCGAGTGTACCACTCGTGCAGCTGCTGTGGGGAGAGAGGCGCACGCGGACGAAGGCGGCCACTCCAAGGAGACCGCGCACCAGCAGTCTCAGTACCCTCAGGCGTCGCACTCCCAGACTCAGCACGCTCAGGCTCAGCACCCCCAGGCTCAGCACCCTCAGGCTCCTCACGCTCAGGCTCAGTACCCCCAGACTCCGCACCCCCAGGCTCAGCACCTCCAGGCTCCTCACGCTCAGGCTCAGCACCCCCAGACTCCGCACCCCCAGGCTCAGCACCCCCAGGCTCCTCACGCTCAGGCTCCGCACCCCCAGGCTCAGCACCCCCAGAGACAGCACCCCGAGCAGGACCACCCCCAGCAGGACCTGAGTCACCAGTGACCTCAACAGGCGCAGGCACGGGAGGGTCTACCTGAGAAACACCTGAAGGAGCAGGACCTGGCGCGGGGAGGGGGTCTACCTGGGGAGGACCTGGAGCGAGAAAGAGCGGCGGCAGGGGGCGAGGGGCAGTGCGGTAGGGAAAGAGACGGTAAAAGGGGACTGACTCGTCAAAGGTGACGTCCTGAGACGCAAAGACACGGCGCGAGGCGGGGTCGTAAAACTGCCAGCCAGGCGCGTCAGGAGGAAAACCAAGGAAGACGCAGGGAATGGCGCGAGCGGAGAGCTTGTCCGTGGTAATATCGCGGACAAAGGCACGAGCACCCCAGACCCGGAATCGCGACGCATCGCCAACCTCCCCCGTCCACAGCAGTGTGGGCGAGGTCTCCGGCAAGGAGACACGGGACCAGAGGTTGAGCTGATGCGCGGCGTACCGGACCGCAAACGGTCACAGAAGATGGGGAGTCGCCACATGGATCATGGAGGTACGAGCGACCTCCATGACTAAGCCAATGTGGCGCTCAGCAACCCCATTCTGCTGTGGAGAGGCCGGAAGCGTGAACGACTGGCGGATGCCGTGCTCCTCACAGAAGGCTCGCAAGAGGTCGGAGGTGAACTCACCACCTTTGTCAGAGTGCAGACGCAGGACAGGAAAGTCCGACTCGAACCGCTCGCGGAGCTGGAGACGAACAGCGCGGATCCAAGGGATCAGAACAGCAGGGACATCCGCCTTGCGCTGCAAGGGGAAGACCGTGGTGTAACGCGTGTAGTCGTCGACAACCAGCAGGAAGTACCGCTCGCGGCCCTGCCCCTGGACGCGGGCTGGGCCCCACACGTCCAGGTGGAGAGTCTGCAGCGGAGCCTCTGTGGGAGGGAACGAGGAGGAGTGAGGAGCGGCGCGCTGCCGCCCCTCGACGCAAGGAATGCAGGGCGGCGCAGGCGAGGGAGGGAGGGAGGGCAGAGACCTGGGAAGACCAGAGACCAGGGAGCGAGAGTGCATGCCACGAAGGCGAGGCAGGGAGGGGTGACCAAGGCGGTGGTGCCAAAGGAGAGTCTGGTGCGACAGGCGACGACACTCACACTGGGTAGCTACCTGAGCGGACGTATACAGCTGAGGAGACAAAGGGGCGTAGCGCGACACTGTGGTGAGGGTGTACAGACTGGACCCAGGCGCACGTGTGAACGTAGCCAGGTGGCGGCCAGTCTTAGAGTACGTGCAGATCGCCACACGCTGTCCTCCAGGAGTAAAGGTGTCAACCCAATGATCCTGAAGGACGGCGTTGCTCACCAGGTTCGTAGAGAACAAGGAGATGTGGAGACCTGACAGCTCACCAGACGGGACCGCCGGGCACGGAAGCACAGTAGTGGACCGTGCAAGCACTGGGCCCCAAGAGGGGTCAGCCAGTGAGACAGGGACAGGTGCAGGGAGGGGTGTGACTGTGGTACTGTCGCGAAAGAAACAGCGGGAAGCACCAGAGTAAAGGTGTGCAAGGCCTGAGCGGACACAGTACCAGGGAGAGCAGACTCACTAGCACCTAGGGCTGCAGGCGCTATACCTGGCTCTATACCTGGATCAGGCGGCACACACAAGTAACAGTCCCCATCAGCACTAACAGTCAATGCATACATGGCAGCAAGAATAGCATCATAGTCAAGATCAAAGATAGGAACATCACGCCTAAGCAGCTCTGCCCAGTTGGGGAACTCAGTAGCCTCAGGAAACTTGACGCGCCAGGCGTCGCTAAGCCGAGCGAAGCAGCGGTACTCAGTGTGAAAGCCGTTGCATGGGCGACCAGCGCGGGGACCGGCGCGAATGACATAGGGGCAGCGACCAGGAACCCCAGACGCCCCACGTGCGGCATACCAGTCATGAAGCTGCTGAGACGTGGGGGTCTGGCGCTGACGCTGCTGCTGCTGCTGCTGCTGCTGCTGCTGTGGCTGCTGCTGCTGCTGCTGCTGCTGCTGCTGCTGCTACGGCTGCTGCTGCTGCTGCTGCTGCCCTTGGCCACCACTGGAGCCCCCAGTCTGGCCGGTCTCCCCCCAGCCCCCACCGCCGCCGCCACCACCACTCCCCCCTCCGCCACCACCGCCGCTGCCACCGCCACTATTCCCGGCACCACCGCCGCCCCCACCACCACCTCCACCCCCACGACCACCCCCACCACCTCCACCTCCCCCGCCGCCTCCCCCACCGCCCCCTCCACCACCACGTCCACCACCCCTGCCGCCCCTGCCTCCCCTCGGGCCGCTGCGCTTCCCACTAGGAGCGGAAGCAGCTGCGACCTTCTCAGCACCAAGGAGGTCGACAGCAGCAGCAGCAGAGGCGTAGGAGGGGGCAAGAGGGGAGGGGGAGCACCCCTCAAAGAGGGGAGTGCGGGGAGTGCCACGAGCAGCACTTACAACGAGAATGTTCTTTTCGGCTGCTAGGAGGTGCTTCTCGAAGTCGGCGACAGTGAGAGTGGTAGGGTCGAGGATTGGCGAGGAAATGGTCCCTGACCGAGCTAAGAGTGTCAGGGAGGCGGGTGACGAGGAAATAGAGAGTGAAGTACATCGGGGGGGGGGGGGGGGGGGGGGGGGGGGGGTGGGGGGGGGGGGGGGGGGGGGGGGGGGGGGGGGGGGGGGAGGGGGGTCTCGGCGAGGAACTCGTCTGGAAGGGCGGCACGAAAGCGAGTGTCACTAGCGCGAAGGTGAGAAATGAGGTCCTCAGCAGTGGTAGACGAGGACAGGTCTGGGAACAGGTAGGGTAATATGAGACGACCTAGGGCTGCAGTGGCCGGGGAGGAGTAGCGCGCAACTACAGCGTCATACAGTGCCTTAGCAGTCTTGTGCTGACTAAAATGTGCGCGCTCAGTGATCAGCATATGATTGCGAATAGCTAGGCGCGCAGAGTAGCATCGCGAGTCTGCCACTGTGAGCGGTCGAGAGCAGGAGCATCGTCAGCAGGAGCAACGGCAGTGCCAGACGCGTGATCGAACAGTGAAACGCCGTCTTTGGCATCAGTCATAAGAAACAGTTGGAGGTCATCGAGCCACGTGGCGAACTCTATCGGGCGACCGTCAGGCTCAAACGCGAGAACATTAAGCGTCGCCATAATCGCAGTGCAGGCAAAGGCAGTAGGCTAAGGCAGCAGGCAAAGGCAGCAGGCACAGGCAGCAGGCAAAGGCAGTAGGCTGTGCGCGGGGCCGCAGAGTGCGCGCGCAAGCAGCAAGGGCGGCGCGCAAAGAAGCCGCAGGCAGCGCGCGGGGCAGCAGCAGGCTGCGAAGGCGTGGCGCGAGCAGGTAGGGCGGCGCGCGGGGCTGCGGCGGGCCGCGCGCGGGCTGTCGAGGCGCGGCGGGGGCTGCGCGGGCGGTGCGCGGGGCAGCTGCGAGCCGCGCGCGGGCTGCGCGGGCGGTGCGCGGGGCAGCAGCGGGCCGCGCGCGAGCTGCAGAGGCGCGGCGCAAGCAGCTAGGGCGGTGCGCGGGGCAGCAGCGAGCCGCGCGCGGGCTGCCGAGGCGCGGCGCAAGCAGCAAGGGCGACGCGCGGGGCAAAAGCGGGCAGCGCGCGCGGGGCTTAGGTCTGCGCGCGAAGCAGCAGCAGACAGCTCAGACAGTAGACGGCGCGCGCAGCACAGCACGTCACAGGCACAGTCACAGTCACAGTCGTGTGGTAGGTTGGCCCGAAAAAAAAAGACGGTCCTACGGACCTACTGCTCTGAAACCATGTCAGAAACTAGAGACAGGAATGAAATGACTAGATCAGGGTTTGGTACAAATATGAAACCCTCATGGGGTTGTACCCCATATTAACTACCCCACTCCAGCCTAAACATTTATAACATACCGGTACATAAAATTTGACACAACTGGCTGGCGCAAAATACACGGGTGCAGGGTTTCTATCCTGCGCAAGTCAAATTCGCGTGCAGTTAGTGAGCATCGACTGGACATAGAAAACATCAAACTTTAGGGTGACCATGTAGACTGCTCAGAAAATTGGAGATCTAGGTGTGTACCCCTCTCAAGCTTCAACGATGCACAGCCCAAATCGTGGGAATGCGATCAGAACAAGGGAACAAAGGAACGCAAAAAGTGTTAGAATTGCATTCAACAAGGGAATGCGATAAAGTGCTAGAAGATTGCACTCAAGGGGAGAAAATATGTGCAGGAATATGAGAGCATTATTCCCCGAAGTTACCTATTCAGGCTAATACGGACGGGAGTGTCTGTTGGGCTAGCTTACTGGCCGTCTTTGCAGCCTACTCAGGGAATGTTCATACTCAGGGAATGTTCATACTTCCTGTACATGGTAATATCCATGTGCTCCTTGTGAGTGTAGCTATCGTATGTGCGGTGTGGGTGCCATGTGGACAGAAGGTTCCCTTTCCTAGAGAAGGCGTTGCCTGTTTTGCTCGTTGAATACTGTCTCTTGAAGAGCAGCTAGCTTTCTGGCAGAGATAAGACCAACAGGGCACAACAGGGCACACAAGGAGCACAGATTACTGACGTGTACATTGATTTAGCACATTGTGTGCGATTTTCAGTCAAAGAACGATACAGCAATGAAAGGCAGCAGGGAGAGGAACGAGCAACCCAAGGAGCACCGAGAAGAGAGGAGAGGAGAGGAGATGAGAAGAGAGGAGATGAGAAGAGACTTAAGGAGAGAAGATGAGAGGAGAGGAGAGGAGAGAAGAGGAGAGGAGAGGAGAGGAGAGGAGAGGAGAGGAGAAGAGAGGAGAGGGGTAGGAAGCTCACCGTTTATTACACTGCAGCACAAACTCCTCAACAGTAGCGGGCTGCTGTAGCTCCCACTGACCCAGCGACACACCGGCACACCCTGACACACCATCCCACAGAGGTGCGTTCTCACACGCAGACGCATCAGCAGCAGCGGGCCGTTCAGGTAGGGGCAGTGCAGCAGAAACATGACAGGCAAAGGCTGCTCCCGTTGCTCCCGCTGCTCCTGCTGCTCCTGCTGCTCCCGCTGCTCCCGCTGCTCCTGCTGCTGACAACTGCCGCTTCAAGTGCATGCCATCGTGCTGCCGTAGAACATGTGCTCTCGCTGCACTGCTGGCAGCAGCATTGACAGCACTACCAGGAGCAGCAGCAGCAGCAGCAGTAGCAGCCCCACCAGCACCACCAGCAGCGGCAGCAAGAGTGGCCATGGCAGTGTGCAGTCTGCTCGCCTGCTGCCCCTGCCTGATTCGGTCCAGCAGCGCTTGTCTATACACCCCCTGCACTGCTTCCACTGCTGCTGCTTCTGCTGCTGCTGCTGCTGCTGCAGCGGCTTTTTGAGGCGCTTCAAAGCTCGCCTGCTGCCTGATTCGGTCCAGCAGCACTTGTCTATACACCCCCTGCACTGCTTCCACTGCTGCTGCTGCTGCCATCGCGTCCCGTCCTCCCATCACCACATCGGTCCCTACCGCACCCAACCCTGCTGCACCCAACGATCCAAACGTGAATTCTCCTCTGCCAGTTGACATTTCCCCTGCACCGCCTGCTGCGCGATTGGAACGCACATCACCAGCCAAACCAACAGCTTCGGCCAAACCTACCCCCTGTCCTGCATTCAACACCGAATTCGCGTTCACCCCCCGAATCGCATGTAACCCCTGACTCGCAGCCAAAAGCTGAATGCTTCCTGACAGAAACCCTCCCGCCCACCCGCTTTCAACTCTCCCCCCTTCAACCCTCTGCTCCGCCTGGACCCCTTCCCTTGCGCGCCCTCCACGCTGGCCCAACCCGCTGCCGCTTCCAGCCGCCGCGGCGCTCTGTTGCGCAACCTGCCCGCTCGCATTCCCCCCACCCGCTGGATCCCGCGGATGCAAGCTGCCCCCCACCGCAGGCTCTTGCGGGTGCAATGCGCCCCCCGACGCAGCTCCCCGCGCCTGCAATTCCCACGGGTTCGCAGTTCCCCTCGCCTGCAATCCCCCCGGCCCTGCAGCTCCCCGCGCCTGCAACCCCCCCGGCCCTGCAGTTCCCCGCGCCTGTAAGCCCCCGGGGCCGAGCACCTTCGCCAGCCACTCATTGATGTCCTCCTCGCGCGGCGTCCGCGCCCCCACCCACGCCGCTCCCGCTCCTCGCTTCCCCTCGCTTCCCGCGGCTTTCCCTTCCCCCTCCACTTCACCTTGGGCCGTTGCCGCTGCCGCTGTTGCTGTTGCTGTTGCGGTCCCCGTTGATGTTCCGCCTTCCCCAGACCCGGCGGGAGCGGAAGCGGACCGCGGGAGACACGGAAGCGCCGCGGATGGCGCAGCGGCGAGGAGCGAATCGAACGGATGCAATGAGAGCGAATCGGACGGATGGGAGGAGATCTGCGAGACGAGAATGCTCTGCGACGGGTAGTTGACAGACGGGACGTCGCAGATGCTGCGCGCCGACGCCGCGGCTAGCAGCAGATCATCCCGCCGCCGTTCGATTCCCATGAACTGCAGCGGATCCGTGCCACGTGTCAAGCCCAGAAGCGCCGCCAGCGGCGCGGGTAAAGGGGAAGCGGATGGCGCGGCGCTCGGCGCGCAAGGGGGTTGGGCGGACGCGGACAGAGGGCGCGCATGCGACGGCTGGAGAGGTTCCGGAATGGAAGGCAAGCAAAGAGGCTCGGGAAGAGGTTCGGCAGGGTTGCTACTGGTTCGGGAGGGCGGTGCGGAAAACATTGGGATGGACGAAGAAGATCGTTTCAAGGGCTGCGGCATCAACGGCGGCACCGGCGGCGGCGCAGGCGGCGAGGCCATGGTGTTTGAAAGCAAACGGGTTATCGCATTTCCCAGATTAGCGGAGTCTTGTCGGCCTATGACGTCACCACCGCGTACCGACGAGTTCTCTTGGACTTGTAACGAGTATCCGCCGCCGAGTCCGCAGTCACCGCCGCAGCTGCCATTTGCTACTCTTTCCCCGATCGCGTCGCCATCCCTGTTGCCGCTCCGTTCGTTCGGGCCGCTCCCGCTTCTGCTGCCAGACGCTGCGGACCCTGCCGGTTGCTGTGCCGCTGGCGGACGGGACGCACGAACTGACGTCGCCGCTTCGTTAAAATTCGTATCGATACAAGCCGGAGCGTCGCACGAGGCTGTCGTCGCTGTCGTCGCTGCCGTTGCTGCCGTTGCGGGCTCTGGAGGCGCGACCTGGTTACCGTGCGACGCTGAAGCCACGCTTCTGCGAGTACCGGAGCTGACACTATCGCGTATGCCAGTGTTCCCGTTGCTATTCGCCCGATAGCCGTTACCGACACAATCATCGCTCGCGTAATTCTCGCGAGGAATCGCGGCGGAAAGATCGGGCAGCACGACGCGGCCCGTGGCGGCGGCAATGAGCATGGCGTGTGCCTGCAGGCGCGAAAGCGGTTGCTGCGGCTGCGGCTGCGGCTGCTGCGGCGACTGATGCGGGTGCTGCGGCGGTTCGGCGGAGATGTTCGAAGCGGAGGAGTCGCGAGCGGGATAGGTAGCAGCGGAAGACGCGACGTGCGTGGCAACATGCGGTTGATCGCGCGAGGCCGGCTGCTGCGGTGGTTGCAGCTGCGGCTGCGGCTGCGGCTGCGGCTGCGGCTGCGGCTGCGGCTGCGGCTGCTGCAGCTGGGCCAGCTCGGCGGAGAAGGTGAAAGCGGAAGCGGCAGAAGTAGCAGCTGGGGGGGCATCGTAAGCGAAAACGGCAGGCGCGGCGGACAGCGGGAATGGCGTCATGGCGTCGACCGACGCGGCGTTGGCCTGACACCTGAGACTTTATACAAATCGCGACTTATATCATACGGGTTCTTCGGTCCACGAGCTTCGAGGTAATGTCCTCGCCGTTCTTTGCCTCGTTGCTGTATCAGCTGTCTTGCCTCTCTGACTGCTTTCCTCCGTTTCCAGCTCGTACGAGGGTCATTACAGTATCGATATCAGTCATGGTGATGCTCGTACTATACGTCCACGCGAGTCGAGGAACTAGCGCTAGGCACAATGAACTAGCGTACAATGTACTGAAGTTAGAGCTTTCAGAACCTATCGTGACTTCTCGAGCAATAAGACATTTCGTGTGCAATCAAAAGCTGCCACTAGGATTTAGTTAGAATTCTCGTGCACCCTAGCCACTGGCGATAGAATTTCGACGGTCCCGCCCCCCTAGCCCGAAAGTCATGACGGCTGGCTTCTGGATGATACTGTATGCTGCTGACCTCGTAGTAGTCACACGGCATCGTGTGTACAGAACAGATGAACCGCCATCGGTTGATCGGTTGAATTGAAGCGAATGATGGTCCTATGGTGGACAGCGAATCGGCGATGTGCGAGAGCGGGGAAGGGAGGGGAGGAGAGAGCGAGCAGCAGCCATTGCTGAGGCGAAATAGCGCGCATCGGCGAAAAATGCGTTTGTTTCAATTAAATCAACCCGAATTGCTTCCCTTTTGCCACGTAGGCGTTTTTCTTAATTGGATGGTCCCCCTTTCCCCCCGCCCCCCCCACCCCGTTTTTCCCGCCCTTGCCCTCCGAAATTCGGGCACCCGCTGGAATTTCGTGGAATCACAAACAGTCAAGAATACATGCTTTTCGTTACGCTAAAATTTCAACATGCGAGCGACATCTAATTGGACAGAACACTGGTGATTTTCTTCGCGCGCCAAAATGACATGCGTTTTGATTCTTCAATGCTGAATGACGTGCACGTTCGGTTGTGCCAGGAGCCGTTGGGGAACGCACAGTTAGATTTAAAGTAGTACCTTTACTTAATTCTCTTTTTTCGTATGAGATATAACAGTAGTAAAAAACTGATTTAGTCCGAAATTAGTAATAGCTTGAGCATAACAAATATGATTAAAAAATGGGTTTTATTAAAATTTTATCAGTGCAGTAATTTTTTAGAATCTTTATATTAATAATATAAAGTAGTAAAATAAAACAAAATATCTACCTATTTCAAAAAAAAAAAAGTATTTGCTTTGGAGTGACTAATATGATAAATCGGTAATATTTTGCTACAAATTAGTGTTTTATGTTTCCTGGAGTAAGCTCTATATAAAGATATTAAAGGCCTATAGGCTATTTGTCATGTATTTTCTTGCGCTCCTATCTACATTAATGGCATGGACTAACCCAAAAAAATATGATACAATCAACGTGCATAGGAACCTCTTGAGATTGAGAAGCAACCGTCGAAATTATCATGTCTTATTGTGAAAGCTGATGTGGCATGCCTCTACTACATGGAGGATTTGGCATGATGTGGGGAGCGTGTATTCGTGACTGTTTGTGATTCCACGAAATTCCAGCGGTTGCCCAAATTTCGGAGGGGAAGGGCGGGAAAAACGGGTTGGGGGGGTGGGGAGGGAAAGGGGGTCCATCCAATCAAGAAAAACGCCCACGTGGCGAAAGGGACGCAATTCGGGTCGATTTAAATAAGACAAACGCGTTTTTCGCCAATGCGCGCGATTTCGCCCATTGCGGATGATGGGTTGGGAGGGGGAGGGGGAGTGACCGCAAGTGGGACTTCCCATCCCGTGTGAGAGGGGGGAAAGGGGAACAAATGTGGGAGGGGAGGGGTAGTCGTACAACTACGGTGGATGGTGCGGTGCGATGCGGAGGGACTTGCGGCGGTGATGGATGGCACTTGACAGCCCAGAGTAAAATGCCATGTGATGCGAACAGTTGATACAGCAGATTGGTCGGGGGAGTGCATTGTGGTTTGAGGGCGTGCTCCACAAGTTCGTTTTCAGCCCATGAATCACTGTTCAGAATGGTGGGTCCGGTTCAAAGCGGTTGAGAAGAACACCCGCTCTAAAATACACAGCACCTCGCATTGCATATTTTGAACGAAAAGAGAACTCGTGGGACACGCAGGCTAGACACCCCGATGACTTGTGGGTACTGTGGAGGTGAAACGGAACAATTTGTGGAGTGCAGATGTTTGGGGTTGATGAAGGTGGTTGGGAGGGAGGGGGTGAAATGAGAATTGGCGGGCTGGGCTGAGGGAATTGGCCATGGTGTGTGGAGAGCAGACTGTGGGAATACCCGGACCAGATTCATAGGCTCCAACAGTCAAACTGAGGTCACTGGCGACTGGCGCACGCCCCTTGATGGCTTTTGCTACAGTACTTCTCATCCCTACTGTGGTGTCACGAGAGTTCCGATCCGAAACACACTGATCCAGGGTCCAGACCTTGTGCGACCAGGAACCAATCTCGCAAACAACACGCGGTGCATCGATCTTGTTTTTTGGAGGATGCTTGCACTATAAAGTGTACATCCACAGTCGTAACTGAGTGCATCAATCTGTGCAATTGGGGTAGTCTGGCAGTGCTGTAACAAGCAGTTGCTGTCGTCAAAGTTGCACCAATCAAAACGGCATCACCAAGGCGGTGTTCTACTGGCTGTATGGCAGTGTCCAAACCAACAGCGCAGTTCTGGGCAGTACACGACATACAGCGCGGACATCACCAATACACCTAGCCACCGCTATTTTCAACTTCTGACCTTGGCACTGTTCCCGATTTTCATGTAATCCCTGCCCAGCTTTTGGGGTTTTCTGTTAGAAACCTCGTTATAGGGGACTATGAATGACATCAAATGGAGATTTCAATCGGGCGAGTGTAAGACAATTTCGGCTCGTGTGGAGTCTGCTTGTTGTTGCGCATCCCATTGCGTAGCTTTCAGGAGTCAGGAACTAACTCTGCGTAGAGCGTATGACGTCCGACACAACCCTCGGTCAAAAACGTTTTGAAGGGTGCCTACCCCTTTGCACACGTGGGGGTTGAAGATAGACCGAAAGAAAATAGCGGTAGTTAGGTGTATGCCAAAAGTAAGAGTTGCAACAGTAGCACCTGGATAATTCAATCACCTGGTCGAGCATGCAGCACAAAGAGAAAACAATAAACATAAGTCAGGCCCATTCCATCCATCCCATCATGCTGAATGAAACAGCTCTTTATTTTACACAATTTTCTTTGCTTGCCTATCCTGCACAGTCCTTGCTTATTCATGGGACACGTTCAGACACTCAATTTCGTAAACCCACAGTGCTGTGAGTCCCTGTAACACTCCACTTTTTGTCCAGTACGATGGCTCACATGAAATTTTATCCACAACAAAACACTTTTAATGATCGGAGTTTCTCCTCATGCTAAAGCAGATGGAATCCAAAACCGAGAGTCGAGGAGAGATGTAAAGATGGCCTTAAGAGTTTTCTGGATGGAAACGGAGAAATGGCAACAGAACGAGAGATGACATGTGGGAGGAGATGGCATGTGGGAGGAGATGGCATGCGGGATGACATGACACGTGGAATGACATGACATGTGGGATGACATGACACGTGGAATGACATGACATGTGGGATGACATGACACGTGGAATGACATGACATGTGGGATGACATGACACGTGGGATGACATGACATGTGGGATGACATGACACGTGGGATGACATGATATGTGGGATGACATGACACGTGGGATGACATGACACGTGGGATGAGATAAGATGTGGGATGAGATGTCAAGAGAGGACAACGCAGCCCACAGCTTAGCGGAACCGCGGCAATACACCATTCACTCTTCAGGTCCTGCCTGCCTCACCTCCTCCCGCTCAACCACAAGAGTACCACACTCACCTGCGGGTGAATATTTGAGCCTCAAAAATAGGCAGCCTGTCTCCCTTCCACCCGCTCAGCCACACAAGCACCACTGAACTGACTCACCTGTGAGTGACTCTTGAGCCCCAGGCAGAGCAGCAGCGGACGGGTCACTCCCTGCTGACTGTTAGGAGGGCGGTGGGGGGAGAGAGAAGAGGGAAGGAAAGAGGAGGGCTTGGAGGGAAGGAAAGAGGAGGAGTGCAGGGACGGCGTCTGTGTGCAGTTCAGGAAGCTAGGCTTTAAATAGCAAAGCGCATGAGGGAGATTACACGGAGAATGGAAGATTGAAGAAAATTTACGTGAAGAGGGAGTGAGCAAGTGAGGGAGAAAAGCAGAGAGAGATTGAGTGGGGTGAAGATAACGGCTGGAGTGAAAGGGACACAGACTTGGAAGTTTCTATCAGAAGAAAACAGACTATATTGAAATCACTTTTGAGAATTCTCACAAGTGATTTTAATATAGCCGGGACAGGGACTTGGAAGTTTGTATCAAAAGAAGACAGACCTGAGTGCCTCTATGAAGGAGAGGGAGGGGTATGGGGGACAGAGGGGAGGCATGAAGGAAGGTACACAGACCTGAGTGCCTCTATGAGGTGGCGTGCACATGCTGCCATCAGTGGCTGCATAGGGATGGAGACGGGAGGGAGGAGCGGGGCAGGAGAGAGGAGGAGATGGGAGGAGAGGGGGAGGAGAGGGTACGAGAAGGAAGAAGAGGGGAGGTGAGGGGGATGAGAAGGTAGGAGAAGGGAGAAGAGGGGAGGAGAGAGCGAGGAGAGAGGGAGGAGCGAGGGAAGAGCGAGGGAGGAGAGAGGGAGTTGAGAGGGAGAGGCGTGGGGAACAGAAAGGAGGCATGAGGGGAAAAAGTAAGAGGCACCTGTCACGATGTCGTTTTCGAGGCGCCTCAAAATTGAGGTCGTTTTGAGGTCGTTTTTGAGGCGCCTCAAAAACGACCTCAAGTATGAGGCACCTGTCACGATCACTAGGTTTGCAGGTTTCTTTTTCTTTTAGAACTAAGAAAGGAAAAAGAAGAAAACCCGCTTGTGCACCTGCCACCTGGTTCCCTACCCCGATGCATCTCACCATTGCTTAGCCCTTCTCACCCCACCTCACCCCACCTCACCACACCTCACCCCTCAACTATCTCACCCTTCTCACCCCATCTCATCCCATCTCACCCCATCTCACCTCACCTCACCTCACCTCACCTCACCTCACCTCACCGCACCGCACCTCACCTCGTCTCTTCTCCCCAGCAGCACCGAGACGTTAAACACTGAGCTCCCTTCCATTCCTCTCATGTGCCCCCTCCCTTCCGCCCCCCCCACCTGCTCCCGCCTGTAGACGAGAACAGATGAGGGGGGGAGAAAAAAGTTGGGGAGACAAAGGACGGGAGAAGACAAAAGAAAGGGGGAAGACAAAAGAAAGGGGGAAGACAAAAGAAAGGGGGAAGACAAAAGAAAGGGGGAAGACAAAAGAAAGGGGGAAGACAAAAGAAAGGGGGAAGACAAAAGAAAGGGGGAAGACAAAAGAAAGGGGGAAGACAAAAGAAAGGGGGAAGACAAAAGAAAGGGGGAAGACAAAAGAAAGGGGGAAGACAAAAGAAAGGGGGAAGACAAAAGAAAGGGGGAAGACAAAAGAAAGGGGGAAGACAAAAGAAAGGGGGAAGACAAAAGAAAGGGGGAAGACAAAAGAAAGGAGGAAGACAAAAGAAAGGGGGAAGACAAAAGAAAGGGGGAGCGACAAAGTTGAGTGGGAGCAGGGAAGCAATAAACAACCGAGGGGGGAGTTAAGGCAAAGGCTGAGCAGGGGAGAGAGTAAACAGGCAAAGGAGAACGAATCAAACGGGAAGAGCAGGGGCAGGGGGGAAACAAAAGAGAGGGGGGATGGGGAGGAACAGGCGAGAGAAAAAACAAGGAAGGGAGGAAGAAAAAGAAGGAAAACAGGGGAGATAAGAAACAAGTGAGGGGGGGGAAACAAACAAAGAGAACTATTTTATACCCCTGTGCAGTGCATCCCTCCCTCCATGCTACAGCACCCACCAGGCATACAGCACCCACCAGGCATACAGCATGGTACTACTGACCGTGCCAATCTGAGTCACCTCACCACCTTCCAAGCATATCAATTTGAGTCACAACCACCTGAATCAACTCCATAAACGTCTATGTACCTCTGTATCCCACTAAATCCCTCGACGTCCCTCCACAATCCCTCTATACCCACCTGGCATACAGCATGGTTCCAAGCGTGCCGATTTGAGTGACCACCACCTGCACAGAGGAAGGAGTGGGAGGAGTGATCAACAAGGAGGGAGGGAGAGAGAGCACCCAAGTATGTGGTTGCGTGCACAGAACAGGGGAATGAGGGCGGATGGTGTGTTTGGAAGGAGGACTCAGGAGGAAAGCGAGACTTGCAGATGGGAATCCGGCAGGTTGATCCGGCAGGCTGTGACACAGCTTTAAAATGATAGGTTGTTCCGGCAGTGGGAGCAAGCAACACCAGGGGTTGGGGGGGGGGCTGAGATCAAGCACGCAGCAGCAGCAGCGGCGGCGGCGGCGGCGGCGGCGACGGCAGCAGCAGCAGCAGCAGCAGCAGCAGGAGCAGCAGCAGGGGAGGGGCGGTGGCTATACCATAAGGCGATCATCGTATGAGAGGCAGAGGAACGTGGTTGCCGTGCCCTGGTGGGCCGTGGTGGGGATGGGTGGGGATGGGTGAGGATGGGGGGGGGGGGGGGGGGGGGGGGGGGGGGGGGGGGGGAGGGGGGGGGTACTTGGAGAGGGGGATAATACAAGTGCGGAAAGAAGGGATGGCGGGGAGAGGGGAAACAGAGGATGGGGAAGTGATGGAGGGTCGAGCTTGGAGCATGTGGGCATGTGGGCATGCTGTTGTAAGTGTTGGATGCTCGTGCCATCCCCCCCATATGGAGACACGTGCGCGCACTCATACGTGCGCCCATGCCTGCTTACGTGCGCCCATGTGCCCCTGCGTGCGCCCATGTGCGCCCATGCGCCCATGTGCGCCCATGCGCCCCCCATGTAAGCTTTGTGTTGGAGGTGTTCATGCACATGCGCTCTGGATGTATGGAGACAAGTGCGCTCACGCGCGCGCGGCCACGTGCGCCTGTGTGCGCGTGTGCGCGTGTATGCGCCTATGTGCGCGTGTGTGTGCGTATTTGCGCGCGTATGCATCTATGTGCGCGCGTGCACATATTTGCGCCCATCTGCGCCGCGCACCTCGATATCCGCGCTGAACTGCTTCGACCGCACAGGAAACTTCGGCCCGCTTTCGCTGCCGCCACTCCCTCCCCCGCCTGCTGCCCCTCCCCCCTCCCCCGTCTCCCACATACCCGCACAATCCCCCCACTCCCCGCGCTCCCCCTTGCTGTTATCAAAGATCAATTCCTTCCCCCGTGCCAATCAACGGTGGCCTTTCGAGGCGCCCAAACAGTCGAACCCCCCTACACCTCCCTACTAAATCTTCGCGCCAATGACTATTTTATCACTTTCCCGCTGCCATACAGGGGCAGATGACGCGGTCGTGTTCGGGAGCACTCAGGGGCACTGACTGACGTCAGCACTAGGAGACGAGTGGTTTACGAACCCGCACGCGGGCAGTTTCACTAAGACGCGTTGCTGAGGGGACGACCGTTACGAATGGGCGCGTGCGTTGGGTCGCAAATGAGCGCTACGCTGCTGTAGGAGCGCTACGCTAGGACGCACGAACCGTGTTGCTTTCGCTCGCTCCTATGGTGCGACGCACGAGTTCCCTAGATTGCGATAGAATGCGCTGCGATGGCGATGGGATGGGGATTGCTGGTTTCTGCTGGATCGGATAGGACACAAATGGTTTCAATTCCCCCTAAGGTCCTATTCACTGACCGCGAATTAGGAGTGGCGTGTGCCGAAGCGGTGCAATTACGGGCTTTATCCCCGGCCTAAATGTGCCATGGACGAAACATGCGAAATATTATACCAGAAAGTGGGCTGGTAGTCAGGGAACGAAAACTTGGCTTGCCCAGCGAATTCAGTAGATGAAATATTCTTGCGAATTTCAGGTAACCAGACCGGACATTAGCTTTTCCAAGTTCCATACAATGCAATGCAGCCCGCTCTACGTCCTTCTGTCCATAAGAAACCCTAAATTCAATAATCCGATATGGTCAAGCCTAACTCTTGGCTCGGAACCACTTTCACTATATGACTAGCAAGCGCTAAACAAACCTAGGTCTTATTTGGTTAACGAGTTCTTCGTTATTAGCGGGTACAGTAGCATTCTGCATAAGCTCGTCTTTCCGCGGTGTGCTTACATATGTCGACCAATCTCGCCAGTCCTCGAGCTGAGCTTGCTCGCAGCTGCAATATCTCTTGACGCATCCGCGTTGTAGGTCAAAACTCGTCAAAACTCGTCTCGCGACGCCCTCTTCCATTTAACCTCTTCACGCCACCTCCTGTCCTTGTGCGATGTCCGCCGCTGGGCCTGACGGTGACCGGCCAGGGGCAGCCGGCGACGCTGCCGGTGACACCTGCTGCGCACGGTTAGAATTTTCGGCCGACAGCGAGCCGAGCCGGCTGTACGTGCTGTCGCGGTGGGGCGAGGCGCGCTGCGAGCTGACTGTCAGCGACGGCCGCTCCGCTTGGACGGGCTGCGGTCAGTAATTCAGTTGGTCAGTCAGTCAGTCAGTCAGTCAGTCAGTCAGTCAGTCAGTCGGTCAGTCCGTTAGTCAGTCAGTCAGTAAATCAGTCAGCCAGTCGGTCAGTCCGTCAGTCGGTCAGACAGACAGTCAGTGGCGGTCGCTCTGCTTGAACCTGCTGCAGTGAGTGAGTGAGAGAGTGAGTGAGTGAGTGAGTGAGTGAGAAAGTGAGCGAGTGAACGAGTGAGTGACTTCCCAAATCTGTTGGGTTGGGTTTCGATACCTAGATATGAAGTCCGTACCTGATCCCCCGTGTCATTGGGTTTGCACAGTAATCAACATTGTGTCGCCAATGTATCCCCCCAAAACGAACGCACTTTGCCTACAGCACGTGCGAAGCGAAGCAACGCGCCGGTTACAGTGTACACCGCTACTAACGCAACACTGCGACACGTCACACCACCACCTCTCCACACCGAAACATCCATGCACACATCTACATTGTCGGAGGGCCCATCAAAAACACGCGGCCACCCTGTCCCGAGACCCCAGGCTCAATGAACCAATGAACTCCTACCAGCGCAAGTCCCTTTGCGCTTGAGACACATGGCAGTGCAGTAGCATACAGCATTGCAACCAGGCATTGTACGTAGGTTGCATTGACCTGGTTCCCACCCACTCAGTAAAGTGTCAGTAAATAAACCTGGGAATACATTGTTGGTGGGTACGTTGTACATTCAATGTGGTTCTGGAGTACTTTGGGATGGAGTGAGTGAGTGAGTGAGTGAGTGAGTGAGTGAGTGAGTGAGTGAGTGAGTGAGTGAGCAAGTCAGCATGTCACTCAGTGGCTGCATGTCTTGGTGGCAAGCAGTGCGGTAAAACGGACCGCTTCGCTCGTTTCTCCACTCCAACACTGCTTCGCTCGTTTCTCCACTCCAACACTGCTTCGCTCGTTTCTCCACTCCAACACTGCTTCGCTCGTTTCTCCACTCCAACACTGCTTCGCTCGTTTCTCCACTCCAACACTGCTTCGCTCGTTTCTCCACTCCAACACTGCTTCGCTCGTTTCTCCACTCCAACACTGCTTCGCTCGTTTCTCCACTCCAACACTGCTTCGCTCGTTTCTCCACTCCAACACTGCTTCGCTCGTTTCTCCACTCCAACACTGCTTCGCTCGTTTCTCCACTCCAACACTGCTTCGCTCGTTTCTCCACTCCAACAC